TACAGACCACGCTAAACCACCATTGATCTGCTAATATCAGTCTCTTTAAAGTTTATAAATATGAACTTTAAAATTAACTTCCTCAGAGTCTTTTGGATTGACATGTATGTCATACCAATCACACAATGGACAAATTCTATCAGATGATGAAATCACTTGCAGTAATAAACCATTACAACTAAAGACAAATTTAAATCACCTGCAAAGGACTTATATCAGGTCTCATAACAACCTCGTAACCATGATCTTCTGGATCACTTCCTGATATCCCACTTGTCTCGGACTAAGAAAGATAATCACAGATTAAACTATTAATAAAATAAGGCACTTTCTTTTAGAGTTTTATTTTGACGCTTCAATTAAAATGTAAATCAAGAAATAGGTATTATTGACCAAGCATGAGGTCAAGATGGTTGAGTGTTGGCTACGTTCTTTTTTTCCCATTTTTGTAGTCCCAGACGAAGTTGATGAGGTCCTTAAAATGCAACAAAAAAAAAAAAGAACAAAGCTAGTATCCAGCCATCTTGACCAAACAGGCTTGGTCAATAAAGGACTTATAATGTAGCAAAAAGATTTTGTTTAATAAGAATAAAGGGTGACCTGCTTTTAGAGAGTCTGGAAAGAAAACTACTGCGTTTGTAGCATATAAAAAACCCACGAGAGCATTTTAAACTTTCTTTATTTTTGACTGTCTTCTGCAGCTTTTTGCGACTTCCTTGCCAACATTTTCCAAAAGCTACAAACTTTGAAAGTCTGCTCCATGCACCTCTTTTCAAAATCATGCAGGCAATATTAATCCCAAGTAAGCAAGATGGTCTCATCTTGCTCACTCAAGTAGCCAATCAGAACAAATAAGGATTAGGATTCACTTCAGCCTGCCCATGGGCACTGCTAGTTTATCAATAAGCCTAGTTGTTGTATTGCATTGGGATCCTTCTTTAAATTATCCATAGAACAATTATTTCCAGACTGCAGATTGAGTTAATTCACATACACTCATGTATACTTAATACAGTTTTCATCCAATGCAACTGCACATGTGATAATGATTTACAAACCCAGTCTGCAATTTTAAATGGAGGGCACTGAAAAAACCTCTCATAAAATATGAACTGTACTTCAGCAAGACCAGGAGAAATACCTATTTGGCAGTTATATCCAGTGGACAAATACTACTTATCAACAGAGGTGTACATACTATTCAACCACAGAGATTCTAATTGCTGCTGTTTGGAAATGTTAGGAAGACAAATACAGGGTGTCAAGTGACAAACTACACCTAGAAAGTTGGAAAATAGGAATGATAGTGGCCAAAAAATAGGAAATATTAAAAGGAATTCTCACCCCAAAATAGGAAAAAATATGAGGATTTCTTTGAGTTCTATCCTCTTAACACTCTTAACAGCAACTCTGTTCCACAACCCAACACTTTAAAATTTAACAGGCACCATGGCATACATCCACAAGGCAGCGCCATATATACAAAAACAAGTGTTACCACCTAAAATATGTTACCAAGCACAACTCATCGTACAACAACTACCAGATTCCAAATGTCATTAGATAGTCATCACAAGATGCCTTTAATTTAAGTTATTAGTCCTTTAAAACTGTGAGAATGATTAAGCAGCAATAATTTTGTTGACACACCAAATCAATATCAAAGTTCACTGTCACCAATTATATGTCTTCCTTACAATAAAGCCAACCATGACTTTTGAACATCAACAACCAAAAAGTCCAACACTATACTGTTTTTGCCCTTTTAGCAAAAGCTGAGAAAGTCTGGGCACAAGTTTCAGATGAAATGCTCTCATTAAGGCTTCAAACTGGTCTTTTTTCACGTGAACTTTCAGTTTTTTGTAGAATTTAGCAATTTTATTGGCAATTTTATTTCAAATATTTCAAAATGTTTCTGCGTACCAAGTAAATCCCTAAAAAAATAAAGGAAAACCTAGGAATTTCATGAAAAAGTAGGAGGAAATAGGAGGCAAGCCAAAAAGTAAGAAAAAATAGGAAAAAAGAGGAACTTGACACCCTGCAAATAGCAATTCAGCAGGGACTGAAGAATTTGAACCAATTCAATTTCCAAAAGAGAAAGTACTGGCGCTAACGAGGGCATGTGGGATTAAAATTATGGACAACACTAAAATGTTAAACTTCACAATAATAACTGAAATATAATGAAAACATGATAATTCACTGAAAGTCCACTTCAAATTACCTGATCACCTGATCCAAAAAGTGAACGGAACACTTTGAGAGGCATTTGGAACTGTCTCTCAACAACTTTGTTATTTCCGCTAAACTTTCTGCTTTCCTCGTACTCTTTCGCTCCATCTGCATCATCACTATAGCGATGAAGAAGAGCTTCTCTGAAGCTGTTGCTGGCCTTTCTCCGATCGATGTTTGTGTCAAACCGGGGGTTTTTCTTTGCTCTGTAATGGATGTAAAGCTCAACAGCATTGTCCCATTTGATAAGGAATCGACCCTCCTTATTAATAAACCATGCATACTCTCCTTCTTCGATCAATTCTCTGATGAAGTGGTACACTGTATTCTTGTTCCCTTGTAAATACAATACACTGATCATTAATGTTTTAGTTTTACATGTTCTTGTCAGAGAAAGGGTGTTAGATCGCGACGTAAACACAAGACTGCAAAGTTGATGGTTTGATAATCCGCTCGCCTGCACCTTCCCGTTAACGGTGGGCTGGATATAAAAGAAGTTAACTATTGCCGTTTTTTAATCAAGGTATAGAGGACCAAACACAAGAGAGTCTTCTTTTCTAGGCGAGACACACGAAAATAGAAAATACCATCAAATTGGTGG